AAAACAAACATCCCAGAAAAATAAAGATTGGTAACAAATTTCTTGTGAAGAATGTGGTGTAAAAAAATTAAGAAAAACGTATCACATAGCATTCCTTGACAATGCTATGTCAATACTTTGATGAAAAAAATAAACACAAGAAAAAGCAAGAAGAAAATCATAGACATACAGTTATGTTTCTTTGTGTAAAAGGTATCTCTGAAAACATACGAAGGAAATGCAAACAACATAAAATCAAATTATTCTTCAGAGACCGCAACACAATACGATAACAGTTATTGTACATCAAACCAAATAAAAACTCACTGGAGAAAAAAAAAAAAAACTTTATCCCATCCTTTGTGTAAGTTGACTCCAATACACTGGAGAGGAAAAAAAAATACTTAGATAGTCAGGATTCGGGAAAATAATAGATATACAAGACTTTGTAACTCCAATCTGCCTGTAGTAGTCCATAATATTAGAAAATACGACCATACAATAACATTTAATAATGCCATAATAATGGAATATGAACTACACAAGAGAAAAATTAAGCCATCCAACTAACTGCTAGTTAATCAAGCACAGACGTTAGATAGGTAGTTGATTCAAGTCCAAATGGTGTGAGAGTCCAGATGAATGGACTAACGAGAAAATCCATGATCGAACCCAGACTTCTGACTCCACGGAAAGGCCGTCGACATTACACCCGGTGACAACCTGAAGACAGAACATTATTTTAATCATCTAAACGTTATATAAAAGTTGCAGGGAATGACTCACCTTGAACTATTTATCATTAACAGGTTAAACATCATATTCTGTCTACATTAAACCCGGTGACTTTATCAACAGTCATGTAAAAGTTAACTTAGTCTTACGTCTCGTTTAAAATAATAACACGAGTTTTAACCTGTTAATGATAACTAGTTCAAGGTGAGTCATTCCCTGCACCTTTTGTGTAACGTTTAGATGATTAAAATAACGTTCTGTCTTCAGTTGGCCTTCCCAAAATGTATTAATTCATTTTTGGTCATAAATACTAAGTCTCAACTGATTACGACACGAGTATGAACAAAAATAGGGTTACTAATGATATTAACCGATTCACATCTTACACATAGTACAAAAATAATTGAACCCTAAGTTTACATCTTGTTAATATAAACTTTGTCTGTTTTACTAACTTATTTTCCCTCTATTCTTATTTTTATAGAAATTATTATATGAATTGAGAGTTTTCAAACAAATCTTATTAAATACTTAGTTAAAGCCTTATTTTCAATATTATACAGGTAGAGAGCGTGAAATGTACACAATAATTTTATTTTAGAAAGAAAATCTCAATTATAATATAATATCAGTCCCAAAACTTGGAGGTTGTAATGTAAAAAAAAAAAAAAGATACTTCTCACCGCCATCTTCCTCTTCATTTTAATACTTGTGTAACACTGGTTAGTTACATTATTAGTCTCATTTACAGGTTAGATAGTCACTACGAATTATTTTGTTAAACCTAAAACTTTAACCACTTATAAACAATATATATGGGCCTGTGTGTTCATGTTTTTATTTGTACGTAGTTCATCAAAACTATGCAGGAGTAGATGGCGAGAAGATCCCTTTCTTTCTATCCGTGGTTCTTACCGATTCTAATACTCAAGGGGTTCAACAATACAGAGCCATCTTGTGGCGAAAGTCGGTGAGTTAAAATTGCACTCTTAATTTAAGGGTTTATATCTATTGTGTTAGACATTTTCACTGCGCTGTGCATGATAATGGATTTTAAATGTGTACGTTTGTTGCGTTTAATAATTTGTTGAAATATTACTTTGTTGTCATCTTTGACAGTGGTTAGAGTGCCAGACTGTGGATCTGCGTTAAATCGTTCGTTTGGTCAGTGTACAATGGACTATCTGCGCTGTATCCTACGTAGACACTGAATCTCGAATGTTAGTGTTATAAGCCCTTATATTGTGTTGTTTTTTTACTGTTTGTTTTTCATCCCCGGTGGGTCAGTGGTAAGTTTACGGACTTACAATAGAAAAATCCGGAGTTCGATTCCCTGTGGTGTACACAGCAGAGAGCCCAATGTGGCTTTTCTCTAAAAAGCAACTAAACATACTTTTTTTGGTTATTGTTGTCTTTCAGTTCTCAGCGATAAGATGTTTGTTATGATTTTTGAATGTTTATGAGTGTAAAATATATATTGTTCTTCGGAGCATTTACCTTTCGGCATGTAATAGGTCGTATATATCTTAAGTGATTTTTATGAAATGCTATATTTATTTCAGAGCGTTTTGTTCTTTGCTTAACCTGAATTTGTCTTAAGATAAAGAAAAGATAACAAGGATCTAAGAAAGACGCTGACACAACTCTGGTCAGAAAATATTTAAAGATTCTTAAATTCGCTGAACTCCTGTAAATGCTCCTAAAATTGTCTTCAATGCATTAGTAATACCAAAACATCAAATTAGAGATGAACACAAATGAAGACAAAGTTTTTAAAATATTATACTTTATAAGTTTCCAGTGCATCAGCTGTAAGGTTACGGACTTACAATGCCAAAGTCTCGGATACGATTCCCCGCGGTGAACATTGTGTAGCTTCACTAAAACAAAACCCAAACCTTTTATACTAAAAATGATATCGCCTCTTGAACGACATTGTCTGTTTACGTGTTCGCAAAATTTCACAATCTGTGTTGTATCAGCCAGAGGAGTCAAACCCAAAATCTAAACGATATAAGCCCTCAAGCTTACTGCTGAGCCGTGGAGGAACGTCATTGTTTGTACTAGTGATGCAGTCACAGAAGCCATGTTTTTTTATTTCATCATTATCACAAATCGTGTTAACAGAATAGTCATCGAAAGACTTAACAGAAACTTCAAATTCGGTATTTCAAACACATGAACCATTAATTTTTAAGAGGCTAAGCCTTTGTCATTTCAACGTTAAAAGTATATATATTATTCTTTGTTCAAAAACTTGGAATCGCGATCAAAATAACAAACGCTCTCGCAATTAAAAAAATTTCGACATTCTTCACGACAAACTTTGCCGACAAAAGTTAGGTCTTATTGGGTTTTTATATTATTGTTCTTTATCAAATACAAAAGTTAGTAACAGGTTTATAATAGATCTAACTATATATGTACACAACATGGATAAGGGTGAAGATGTGCACCGGATGTAGGTGATCAAAGCAAGTTGCTGTAAGACACTAATACAGCAGTTAGCGTTAAATGTGTATCAAGAAATGTTCAACTTGCGCAAAATTCTCAAAATATCATGTAATATTTTATGTTAACTACTTTATTTATTATTGGTTATTTCACTGTTGCGGCAGTCAGGGCACGTTTATGGTAAATCCCGAAAAGCCGAAATAATTTCCAAAGCGATGGTGGTAGTATAAACAATGATGAAACTAAATCCTTTTTGACAGGAGCCTCATTTGTGAAAAATGACTCTTGGCATCACATACTATAAAGTGGTTCGTGCATGCTACAACATATACAGCCTATACTAACTTCATTTAAATTAGGGACATTTTGTCAGAAACCATTTATTAAGTAATTATCAAGTATGACTCTTTCTGTCAACAAAGTTTTATGTTAATATAAAAACTTAAAGTTACGTCTGGTTATTTACAGGGTGCACAGAAGATTAGCCTGTCTCATACACAGGGGAAAGCGCTAACAGTGAAGTCTATTCTAAGGTAAGAGACATCTCGTGGAAACGATTTAAAACCACCATTTGTATGTCATGATCAGAAATCTAAGGTGTAAAGTTGTTCACACTTGAAGGCTCGAACACTTTTCCTTTTCTTGTCCTTTTTTCTATCTAAATGTCAGAAAAAAAAGGAGTTATCGGTTCATGTACTCTGTTCATGTTATGTAATTGTTTCCATGTTATGATTTCATTAGAAGAATAGAATGAAATCTTGTAATTGTAGTAACGCATTGTGAAAACGTGAAACTTCGGTTTTCTGTCGGTTAGCTAAGCTAATCAGTGTCGGCGGTAGAACTCTTGACTTCACTTTCCGAGTTCGTTTTGTAGGAAGAGTTATACAATAGTTTGCAACGATAAATTGCAGAAAAACAACTTTGGTTTTCTATCGGTTAGCTAAATTAATCAGTACCGGCGTTACAACGCTAATTTTCCTCCCTTGGTTATTTTCTTTAATTATAGCGCTACAGTAATTGGAAATTATAAATGTCATTACACAAGATCGTGAAACATCATCAAAACCAAAATTATGTAGAAATCGTGAACGATAACAGAAACGTTTTGTATATTAGTAAGATCTCATGTAATTACAGCTCATTGACTCATTTGTGCAATTTTTAAGGCTTACGCAGTTTTCTTTTCTGTTATATAATACATTAAAATGAGAATTAAATAAACCAAAACAGTAGACCTCATCATATTCATAATATGAAAAAACTTCAGCATGTATCATGTCTATTCTATAACCATATAAGGATAGTAATTTGTTACAATATCAGATCTCATCAGCCCAGGTATATCATTGAGTGTTACAACTGGTGAAATTAAACGTTCATAGGATGGTAATAATTACTCTAACAAGAAAAGAAAATTAGTATATCACTGTAGTTACCTGAAAAATCACCCGTTTTACTTGTCATCGTGTTGCTTATCGCACATTTGCCCACTGAGTAAAAGTTTTAAGCGATCGATCTTTAGTTATATACTCTTAAAGGTAAATTTGAAAACTTTTATCTATTTGTCATATATCAAGGTAAAATTCAGACGAATGACTTTTTTACTTTTAAAAAAACCTTGGTTTTCAAAATGAGAATACAACACTTCAAGTTTTAAACGTCAGCTATGTCTTCAACAGAAACAAAAACAGCTCAAATGTTAGGCTTCCCTAGCGTCTTCATATATTCAGTGCATAATCTAATGATAACTTGTTGTTATAACTGAACTTAAACATAAATAGGCTCGTGAAAATTAAAGGGGGACATGTTAAGTAGATGAAACAAAGGCTGTAGAATAGGATTCAAATGGACTTCAAGATTCCGAAAGAATGTACGTTGTTTCTTTAATAATATAATCAGTGGAGGACGATAGAATGGAATATGGTATAAGTTAATAACAACAACAACACCTGGTAAGCTACAACCTTAATAAAACACCACTATACAGTGGTTAAGTACGTTATACTAAAACGACTTTGGAGCCTCACCAATTTGTTGAAATCTATATCACCACATCCGGTCATGCTCTATCTAACGACTGTGATACTTGACAATAACTCTGCAATGTAGTTCTATTGCTAAAAGGTTCTTCCGTAAGCCTGTCAGCTCCAAAATAGACCCCTTATCGCTACCACTGATATTTATACAGATCAGTCGTCCCTGCAAGCTTTTCATGAGCCATTTTAGTATAGGAGGATGACAGTTTCACAGTGCCCAATCGCAAAAAAAAATTCAATAGCACTGGTTAATACGACTTGATTAGTATGCCTTCGTATGGATAGTATGAATACCCATTTCACTCTCCAGTTGCCTAAGGTATGCGTGAGTAAACGGATATGTCGTTGAAACAACTGATGTACACGTGAATTGTGTCACTTTTCCAAACGGAGATTCTTCTTGATTATGTTGTGAACAGCATTTATTACGGACCTTTGTGTTCGTAGGTTCTCACCTGTTACAAGACACCGCGCTTTATTTGCGACGACTGGATATACAACTTGTTGCAGATCTGTTTCTGGATGTTTTGGTTCTCTAAATTGATCCATATTCCTTTTTTCAATTTCATTAAGTATAATGGATATTCCCATCTTTGAAATTCTAAATCTGTGATCTGAACACATCTTAATGACCTGAGTGTATTAATATTTTGCATCTGAAAGGGCTGTTACATACCGTTCCCAATAACGATCATTTTTCCATGGCATCGCACTCTCTACGCTCGAAATGTCAGCAATGTCAAAATGTAGTTCTGATTCATGTCCATTCACCGCGAATTTATATTGAATGTAGTGGTCACGTGACTTGCTGATTTGCATATTCAAAACCGATGTAATATAAACCTCTACACATATATGTAATTATTACCTATTTACTAACAGCTGAAAGAGAGAATCGTGTGCACTTTTTCAAAACATGAAATTTGGAGCCATTAAGTTGCTTTATTCTGTTTTCAGAATAGCCCTATTTGATCACAGAGTTTTAGACTTGTATCTGAAGGCATGCTTCTGGGCCTAATTTGTTGGAACTCGCCACTGCAAAGCTCACTTATTGATACTTTCACAAAGTATTCTTCCCTTATCAGCATATTTTGACGAGGTCTGAGTTGCTTGACCTTCATTCGTTATATGGGTTCAATGTTTACCTTCTCCAGTACATAAAAACCATACTGACTAAATAGCAAAAACTTAACCTTG